GTAGAAATGACTCAGCCGGAACTGAAAATATAGATGGAGGACCTCAGTTTAGCTTGTTAGTTTGTTGCGCTAGCACCAAGCTAATACATATATATGGTGATAGCATCGGGGCTAACGCTAAAGCTAGCAGGCTAATCTGAGGTTCTTCTTCCATGAAGCATCCATATTTTCAGTTCCAGGCTGAGTCATTTCTACCTTCTCCTCTCTGTCAACGCTCTCTGGTTTCATTTAAAAGAGTCGATCATCAGATATTGTCCAAGATTAACCTTCAGGGTGGATATAGCTCACTAGCAGCCTCGCACCGAGGACCTATCCACGTCATCATTTACCCAGAATGCTTTGTGTGGAAACAAAATGGCTCTGTCCGTGTTAAAATATATTTTTAAAAATGATAAAAACTAAACAGCCTACAGTATTTTTACTGTCTTTATTTTACAGTTAAAATAATTTTTTATCAAATAAAATCTAATGCTACAACTAATCGGGTATCCCTTTAATCTTTTTCTCTCTGATTAAATACAATTAATCACTTTTTGGTAAGGGTAAAAACAGACTATACATTTAAAGATTATAATGTTAATATTGTAATTACTGCCACATGACTTATGGTAACTTTTTATATTTAGGTGTTTCACATTCACAAATGAATAAAATAAGGATTTCATATGTTATTGGAAGTATCTCTTTTGTTGACACTCCCAAGCTTTATGAACAAGGAAAAAATGTGGAAGGGAAAGTAAGTAACAAATTTTTACTTCTCTTTCAATTTCGGGGTAATGCATCAGTCCTTCACAGTTTTGACTTGCACAAATCAGATCCTGCATTCTAAAATCTTAATATGTTTATTTTTGCAGGTTAAAGCAGTTCATTACAATGACACGCCTATTGCTCACATGCCGATACACCTGTTTAAGGGTGAAAGGTGGTCCGCTCAGCTGGTGCAAAATCTCACAACTGACATAAATGGTATTGCCACCTTTTCTCTTAGCACGGACACATTTAGTGGTGATGTTCATCTCCACGTAAGTAAAGCGCAGCTCCAGTGTCACTCACTTTACATCTCTGTCATGAAACAAAGCCAATAAGCAATGCCTGTGTTTTCTCAGTATGCTGTGATTGTGTAAAATAAATGCAAAAAATGCTATCTCAACTTGTGTTTTGACCTTAATGAGCCTGTTGTGTGCGTGTTTTTTTTCATGCATAGCTAAGCAAGACACCAACTTTGGAGTTTCCTCCATATAGAGCTTCTCACTATGACACAGCACATCATGTATTGTCTATTTCCCAACCACCTTCATATGAGACCAAAACAGTCAGCTCACTAGAGGTGCAGCAGAGTACAAAACTTTCTTGTGACAAAGAAGAGGACATCAATGTTCTGTACACGTTTGTGCATGAACCCAAGGGTTCTATGGATGTTGTGTATCTGGTGAGTATGGCAATTTATCCTAAGCTCTCAGAACACAAAATTTAAGTGTAAAATTGTCTCTAATGGAGCAGTACCAATTCATATTTGATAATTTACAGTAGATTAGCAGTTGCAGTCATATGTCATGAGGGTTGGAACCCATGTGTGCTGGTAAATGGGGAGAATAAGCTCCTGCCCTAACTCATTCATTATCACTATGGATTGGTAAATCATCCAATGCCAACAAAGCCCCAGTTTGTCTTTACATCTTTAATTCCCACCTACTGACACCAAGTCACCAAGACACTTAAACTCATCTGTTTGAGTCTGAAACTCACTTTGACCCAGTGGGAGCATCGTGGGCGAGCCCGTTCTTATGCCCCCCGCGTCAAGGTATTGACGCTTGACCAAGAGTCATTATGTTGACGCCGGGGGTACCCCCGCACGTCCGTTCTGTACGAGATGGGGCGGAGGAGGACGATGTGTTTTTACAAGACTCGAATTGCGTGAAACTAACCATCCTAGACCCAAAATTTAACTTCTACTAGCCTCATAGAGCCTAACTCTGACCACAGACCCTAAAGTTAACCACAACCCCTAACCTTATGTTAACCACAGACCCTAAAGTTAACCACTAACCCCT